AAAAGAAAAGAAAGAAAGAGCTAAAAGAGAAGGAAGAAAACCAATAAGGTTTTCAGTGTTTTGGAAGCCAAAGTAAGAGAATGTTTCAAGAAAGGGTGGGAATGGTCAAAATGCCAAATACTGCTAAGAAAGAGATATTGACCAAGATGAGAACTAAAAAATAATCTTGTTGGCTTTAGGACATGGTATATTAGTTTGCTAGGGCTGCCATAACAAAATTACACAGACCGGGTGGCTTAAACAATTGAGATTTATTTTCTTACAGTGCTGGAGACTAGAAGTCCAAGATTTAAGTTACTGGCAGGTCTGGTTTCTGCTGAGGCTGATCTCCTTGGCTTGCAGATGGCCACTGCCTTGCTGTGGCCTCATATGTGTGTCCCTCTGCATGTGCGTGTGTCTGGGGTCTCTGTCTCTATGTCCAAATTTTTTCCTACAGGGATACAGGTCATATTGCATTAGGACCCACCCTAATGACCTAATTTAATCTTAATTACCAAATACAGTCACATCTTGTGGTACTGCTGGTTAGGACTTCAGCATATAGATTGAGGACTCAGCCCAGAACAAATTAGGTAACTTGTGTCATGGGAGCATAATTCAGACTGGAGTGGGTAGAGAACTAAATAGGATATGTAGTAGCAAAGAACACAAGGTATACCTTTAAGAGGTTTTTCTGTGAGGAGAGTGAGGACATTAGCAAGAGTAATGCTTTCAAACCATCTATGGTGAAGACCTTTGATTTTTCAGATTTCCAATTCATGAATTCAATTCATAATTTAATAAAATACAATAAAATAAAATATTAGAAAATGAAAATTTAAGTGCTAGGCATGGTAGCTCACGCATGTAATCCCAGCACTTTGGGAGGCTGAGGCGGGAGGATCACTTGAGCTCAGTTGTTTGAGACTAGCCTGGGCATCATTGTGAAATGCCGGCTCTACAAAAAATTAGCCAGGTGTGGTGATGGGTGCCTGTTCCCAGCTATTCAGGAGGCTGAGGTGGGAGGATTGCCTGTGCCAGCAAGATTGAAGCTGCAGTGAGCTGTGATTGCACCACTGCACTCCAGCCTGGGCAGTAGAGTGAGCACCTTTCTCAAAAGAAAAAAGGTTAAAATTTTAAATGACATAAAAATATAAGTTTAAATATTGTTATATTTAACAGACATAAGTTTATTCTGTCAAATTCCTATCAAAGTTTCTCAATCCTCACTCTCAATTTCCATACTTATCTCATGGAAGACCAATATCAGTTTGGGGACCAGCACCAGCTAACACTTTGAGGTAGAACTCTATATATGGGAGTGGAAGAAGAGTCTTCTTTTGTTTTTGTTTTAAGTAAAGACTTAAACATGTTTAAAAAATAATTGAAAGACTCTAGTCAAGAGGATGAAATTAAATATTCAAGAGATCCTTGAGGATCAAGTAAGCTTCTTGAGAAACCAGGAGGAATAGGATCCAAAGCATAGCATGAGGGAATATTAGCCTTGGGTAGAAAGAGGTACAGCCATTTTTCTCTAACAGCAGCAAACGGGCCTAGGTTATGTAGGGAAGCTAAGTTAGTACTTTCTGATGCCTGCTGTTTTCTCTGAAATAGAAAAGGAAGTCATTTTCTAAGACTGATGAGTGATGGATATGGGGCAGGCAGTTTGAGGAGACTGAGGACTGGCAATAGTGGAGACTATAGAAAGAGTAGAGTTTCCTGGTGGTGCCGAGGCCGTTGAGGGATGCTGATCCTCAATTATAGTAGAATCAGCCTGCCCATTGCATCACTTATTCTTGTGAGTGTGGAAAAAAAAAGAAAGATAGCTGGAATTACCCCTGACTGAAGTTTCACTAAACAAGTCCAAAATAAGATAGATAATATTGCTGAAAGGGTTTTGTTTTGTTTTTTTGACACATGCATGAGCCAGTGCACCCAGCCTGACTTAATCTGAGCATACTTCTTTGCCTTTATTGGCTTCTTATTCTCTCCAAAGTCCTTGTCCGTGGCCTGGCTGCCTTTTAGATCTCATCCAATATCACTTTCCCCACCTCATTTACTGTTCTGCAGCCATACTGGGTTTGTTTTGTTCTTGGAAAATACCAAGCTCCCAAGGACCTTTATGCAGTCTTTTTTTTGAGGCAGAGTTTCTCACTGTCACCCAGGCTGGAGTGCAGTGGCGTGGTCTCGGCTCACCACAGCCTCTGCCTCCTGGTTTCTAGCGATTCTCCTGTCTCAGCCTCCCAGGTCTCCTGTCTCAGCCTCCCGGGTTGCTGGGATTACAGGCATGTGCCACCACAACCAACTAATTTTTGTATTTTTAGTGGAGACATGTTTAACCATGTTGGCTAGGTTTGTCTTAAAGAACTCCTGACGTCAGGCAATCCTCTCGCCTCAGCTTCCCAAATTGCTAGGATTACAGGCGTGAGCCACTGTGCCTGGCCTATGCAGTTGTCATTCATACATTATCCCTCAGAGGAGTCTTTTTTTTTTTTTTTTTTTTTTAAGGCAGTCTCACCCTGTTGACAGGCTGGAGTGTAGTGGCACCATCACGGCTCACTGCAACCTCCACCTCCTGGGTTCAAGCAGTTCTCCTGCCTCAGCTTTCCGAGTAGATGGAACTACAGGTGCACGCCAGCTAATATTCTGTACTTTTAATAGAGACGGGGTTTCACCGTGTTGGCCAGGATGGTCTCGATCTGACCTCATGATCTGCCCTGCTCGGCCTCCCAAAGTGCTGGGATTACAGGTGTGAGCCACTGTGCCCGGCCTTAGAGAAGCCTTTTTAGACCACTGATTCTTATCCCTTTCTATCCTCCTGTTACTCTCTATTATTTGATGCCATTTATGTTTCATTCACAGAGCATTTATCATACCCTGAAGTTACCTTGTTTATTTATTCACTTGTTTTTTGTCTGGCTCCTCCTTCAAAAATGTAGGTTCCTTGGGCCAGGGATGTTCTGTTGCTTACCAAGTCACCGGATTGCTTAGAGCACTGCCTGCCATATAGTTGATGCTCAATAAATATTTAATGAATGAATGAAAAGGAGGAGATCTTGGAGAAAAAGAATAGAGAGGGAAGAACAAAGTGGTAGACCATGGATTTAAGTTGGATAAAATGTGTCATAAAGAAAGAGGAGGGTCAGGTGTGGTGGCTCAGGCCTGTAATCCCAGCACTTTGGAGGCCAAGGTGGGAGGATTGTTGGAACCCAGGAGTTTGAGACCAGCCTGGGCATCTTAGGGAGACCCTGTCTCTACAAAAAAATTTTTTAAATAGGCTAGGCTCAGTGTCTCCTGCCTATAATCCTAGCATTTTTGGGAGGCTGAGGCAGGAGGATCACTTGAGCCCAGGAGTTTGAGACCAGCCTGGGCAACTTAGACACTATCTCTACAAAAATTAAATAAATTAATTAAATAATTAGCTGGGCATGGTGATGCATGCCTGTAGTCCCAACTACTTGGAAGGCTGAGATGGGAGGATTGCTTGAGCCCAGGGGGTTCAAGGCTGCAGTGATTCATAATCATGCCACTGCCCTCCAGCCTGGGTGACAGCAAGACTGTTTCACGAGAATAAAAATATTAAAGAGGAGGTCTGATAAAGTAGGGGATTAATCTTGGAGCTCTTGGCCAGACACGGTGGCTCATTCCTGTAATCCCAGCGCTTTGGGAGGCTGAGGTGGGCAGATGACCTGAGGTCAGGAGTTTAAGACCAGCCTTACCAACATAGTGAAACCCCATTTCTACTAAAAATACAAAAATTAGCCAGGCAGGGTAGTACCCGCTTGTAATCCAAGCTATACCGGTAGCTAAGGCAGGAGAATTGCTTAAACCCAGGAGACAGAGGTTGCAGTAAGCCAAGATCACACCACTGCATTCCAGCCTGGGCGACAGAGTGAGACTCTGTTTGAACAAAAGCAACAACTTGGAGATCTTGATAAGGGCTGCTACTCAGTAAAGTCTAAAAACTTTTGTAGTAGCTGCCGGGCGCGGTGGCTCACGCCTGTAATCCCAGCACTTTGGGAGGCCAAGATGGGCGGATCACTAGGTCAAAAGACCAAAACCATCCTGGCCAACATGGTGAAACCCCATCTACTAAAAATACAAAAATTAGCTGGATTTGGTGGTGGGCACCCGTAATCCCAGCTACTCAGGAGGCTGAGGCAGGAGAATCACATGAACCCGGGAGACGGAGGTTGTGGTGAGCCTGTGCCACTGCACTCCAGCCTGGGTGACAGAGTGAGACTGTCTCAATTTAAAAATATTATATATTAAAATGTATTTAAAAGCATTAGTAGCTATGAAAATTACAAATAGATATACCCTTTGGCTTAATAATGCTACTTCTAATAATTTATCTATAAATATACATGTATATATATATGAAACTATATCTGTTCAAAAAAAAGTTTTGTTTTTTTTTTTTTTTTTGAGACAGAATCTTGCTCTGTCAACCAGGCTGGAGTGCAGTGGTACAATCTCAGCTCACTGCAGCTTTGGCTTCCTGGGTTCAAGTGATTCTCCTGCGTCAACCTCCCAAGTGGCTGGGACTACAGGCGCACACCACCACACCCAGCTGATTTTTGTATTTTTAGTAGAGATGGTTTTACCATGTTGGCCAGGATGGTCTTGATCTCCTGTCCTTCTGATCCAACTGCCTTGGCCTCCCGGGCACCCAGCCATGGTAACATTTTTTTAAAGTGAGGAAATAACTTTATATGCTGATACAGAATCTTCATTTTGTTTAATAAGAAAAGTCTTTGTTAGTATAGTGGTAAATAGAAAAAAAAAAAAAAGAAGAAAAAGCTAGGCATTGTAGTAGTACATATAGGATGTATAGTACTAACTTGTATCTGTATATCCCTGAAGTACCTTATTAAAGAACATTGGTCAGCTAAAGGACAGAAGTGGCTATGATATTATACTTTGTGAATTTTGAGCCATCAATCAAGAATACTTTTTTTTTTTTTTTTTGTTGAGACAGGTCTCATTCTATCTCCCAGGCTTGAGTGCAGTGGTATGATCTTGGTTCACTGCAACCTCTGCCTCCCAGGTTCAAGTGATCCTCCAGCCTCAGCTTCCCGAGTAGCTGGGACTAGAGGCACGTGCCACCACATCTGGGTCATTTTTGTGTTTTTAGTAGAATGTTGCCCAGGCTGGTTTCAAACTCATGGGCTCAAGCAATCCACCCACCTCAGCCTCCCAAAGTGCTGAAATTTTAACCAGGAGTGAGATACCATGCCCGGTCAAAAATAAATAAAATTTTAAAAGGTAAAAGGAAAACACTTACTGAAATTTTATTTTTATAACTATTTTTTTCCTAAATTGAGCTAAATAACAATAAGAGGTTAAAAACATGATTCTTTTTTCTCTTTACCTCTCTTATGACCACAGGGAATGTGCAACAATCAGTTAACCGCAAACAGAGCTGGAAAGGTTCTAAAGAGTCCTTAGTTCCTCAGAGACATGGTCCACCACTAGGAGAAAGTGTGGCCTATCATTCTGAGAGTCCCAGCTCACAGACAGATGTAGGAAGACCTTTGTCTGGATCTGGTATAACAGCATTTGCTCAAGCTCACCCTAGCAACGGACAGAGAGTGAACCCCCTACCACCACCTCAAGTAAGGAGTGTCACTCCACCACCACCTCCAAGAGGCCAGACTCCCCCTCCAAGAGGTACAACTCCACCTCCTCCTTCATGGGAACCAAACTCTCAAACAAAGCGCTATTCTGGGAATATGGAATACGTAATCTCCCGAATCTCTCCTGTCCCACCTGGGACATGGCAAGAGGGCTATCCACCACCACCTCTCAACACTTCCCCCATGAATCCTCCTAATCAGGGACAGAGAGGCATTAGTTCTGTTCCTGTTGGCAGACAACCAATCATCATGCAGAGTTCTAGCAAATTTAACTTTCCATCAGGGAGACCTGGAATGCAGAATGGTACTGGACAGACGGATTTCATGATACACCAAAACGTTGTCCCCGCTGGCACTGTGAATCGGCAGCCACCACCTCCATATCCTCTGACCGCAGCTAATGGACAAAGCCCTTCTGCTTTACAAACAGGGGGATCTGCTGCTCCTTCATCATATACAAATGGAAATATTCCTCAGTCTATGATGGTGCCAAACAGAAACAGTCATAACATGGAACTATATAACATTAATGTACCTGGACTGCAGACAAATTGGCCTCAGTCATCTTCTGCTCCAACCCAGTCATCCCCAAGCAGTGGGCATGAAATCCCTACCTGGCAACCTAACATACCAGTGAGGTCAAATTCTTTTAATAACCCGTTAGGAAATAGAGCAAGTCACTCTGCTAATTCTCAGCCTTCTGCTACAACAGTCACTGCAATTACACCAGCTCCTATTCAACAGCCTGTGAAAAGCATGCGTGTACTAAAACCAGAGCTACAGACTGCTTTAGCACCTACACACCCTTCATGGATACCACAGCCAATTCAAACTGTTCAACCCAGTCCTTTTTCTGAGGGAACCACTTCAAATGTGACTGTGATGCCACCTGTTGCTGAAGCTCCAAACTATCAAGGACCACCACCACCCTACCCAAAACACCTGCTGCACCAAAACCCATCTGTTCCTCCATATGAATCAATCAGTAAGGCTAGCAAAGAGGATCAGCCAAGCTTGCCCAAGGAGGATGAGAGTGAAAAGAGTTATGAAAATGTTGATAGTGGAGATAAAGAAAAGAAACAAATTACAACTTCACCCATCACCGTTAGGAAAAACAAGAAAGATGAAGAGCGAAGGGAATCTCGTATTCAAAGTTATTCTCCTCAAGCATTTAAATTCTTTATGGAGCAACATGTAGAAAATGTACTCAAATCTCATCAGCAGCGTCTACATCGTAAAAAACAATTAGAGAATGAAATGATGCGGGTAAAACCTTTTAAAATGTCCATTTTTATACTTAATCATCTGTTTACTTGGTGTTTATTTTAAAATATTGTGCTCCAGTATTTTTCATGCTTTTTATAGCTTATTATCAGTTACAGAATTTAAAAGTGAATAAATATTAAAGTACATTTTATTGTAACCATTTTATTTTAGTATTTCAAGATTTACTCAGAATTTCCTGAAATAAAATCTCGTGTAAATTAAGAAAAATATAATTTGCCATATACAGTTTAGGTGTACATAATACTTTATATGGAAATTTGAGCAAGGGTTGTTTTCTAGGTTTTATACATTATCTTAACAACATTTAAAGATAAACTAGTAATATGTGGGTCTCATCTCCTGATACACTTACGAAACATTTCTTTTTACTTGTAGAAAATTTGAAGTTTATAGGTTTATTGATCACATAGATCTTACTAGAAAGTGTCAAAGAAGTTCCGTTGTTATTTTTCCCTTCTAATTTCACTTTTATAATATATTGGAGAAAAATGTGTTGAAATTATAAGTCAAACTATAGTAAAAGGAGATCAGAGTAAATAAACCTATTTAAATTGTGTTGTCATTACACATAGATCTCTTCACTAGATACTAAGATGGTATTGTCATCATTATTGTTTTTATCATGTGCTTAGAGTTCAAAGATTTGACTCCTAATCTTACATCTGTCACTCACAATTCAAGAGGCTTAATCTTGTGATTAAATGCCTTTATGTACTTGAGAGAAACATTCTTTTAAAATGATTTTTCCACCAGGCGAGGTGGCTCAGGCCTGTAATCCCAGCACTTTGGGAGACAGAGGTAGGCGGGTCATCTGAGGTCAGGAGTTCGAGACCAGCCTGACCAAAATAGTGAAACCCCCATCCCTATTAAAAATACAAAATTAGCCAGGCATGATGGCACATGCCTGTAATCACAGCTACTTGGGAGGCTGAGGCAGGAGAATTACTTTTAACCCGGGGGGGTGGAGGTTGCAGTGAGCCAAGATTGCGCCATTGCACTCCAGCCTGGGCAACAACAGTGAAACTCCATCTCAAAAGAATTTGAAAATAAAAAATAAAATGATTTTTCCAAATCTGATTTACAGTATTGTTATTCCATTTTACATTTTATTAAATGAGAAATGCCATAATAATCTCTATGACTTATCTGTATTTTAGTTCTTAGGATTTCTTACTAAAGTCTGTCTGTATGTATTTTCTTAGTTTATTTTTCCTTTTTCCTCTTCACTTTCACTAATAGCTGATTTAAACTTTTATGGTGTTGGAAGCTTTGCTGACTTCTGTAGTCTCCATTACTGTGTAGGCAAGTAAGATTTTAAGAGAAACAGTTCTGAACTAAGTCTGGCATGTCACCCTTCTTAAAAGATTTTGCATGCAAATGTGAATCCTAACAGAAGCATGTGGTTGCTGTATTTTAGTCTTGCATTTCTAGAATTAGACCCCACTTTTCCAATTGAATTCCTTTTCTATTTAAACCCTTTAATTAGTTCTTTATTAATTAGCCAAAATATTTCTCCCTTCTAAATCCAGGTATTCCTTATCTATAATACTTAGAAGTTAGTTTTTGTTTTTAATCTATTTTTTAATATCTTCATGAGTCACACTGACTATTCTTTGAAATATTCCTAAGTACCCAAAGGATATCTTGTAAACAAATAAGTAGGAGAAACCCTTTGCAATTTGTGTTAATGGTGGGCCATGAGTCACACCTTTACTCTAATGCCCTGAAAAAGAGAAAAGGAAAGATTATTCATGACTATTATATATTTATTGAGAATGGGGAAAGGATTAGTGGCTTAGAAAAGGCATTGTTTTGTTGTTCTCCGTACATTAATTTTTTAGAATAAATAAGCCTGGAGTAAAAGAATTTTTTTTTTTTATGAAAGATAAAATAGGAGGAAGGATGTTTGAGGCCTAGGCATTACACTAAGAGAAGTATAAATGAAGATGCATGTTAACAGATATTTGTTTCACATTGAGAACCTTTTTTTTTTTTTCGGAGTGCATTAGAGAAGAGTAGAAAGCTGACTCATCTGGGATCCTCTTGGACTACACAGCTGAATTTGCATATGTACTCACTTTGAATATCCTTTTAACTGCCTCTTAAGCTGCACTTTTGATCATTAATTTCCTTTGAAATGGTTTCTAGATTTCTAACATGCTTTATTAAAAATTATGCATTTAACCTTTAAATATATGCCTGAATTTTTTCCAAGCTATTTCTTAATATTTAATATTGAAGAAGATAATTCTTATTTAACATCTAGTTTATTTGCCTAGGTTGGATTATCTCAAGATGCCCAGGATCAAATGAGAAAGATGCTTTGCCAAAAAGAATCTAATTACATTCGTCTTAAAAGGGCTAAAATGGACAAGTCTATGTTTGTGAAGATAAAGACACTAGGAATAGGAGCATTTGGTGAAGTCTGTCTAGCAAGAAAAGTAGATACTAAGGCTTTGTATGCAACAAAAACTCTTCGAAAGAAAGATGTTCTGCTTCGAAATCAAGTTGCTCATGTTAAAGCTGAGAGAGATATCCTGGCTGAAGCTGACAATGAATGGGTAGTTCGTCTATATTATTCATTCCAAGATAAGGACAATTTATACTTTGTAATGGACTACATTCCTGGGGGTGATATGATGAGCCTATTAATTAGAATGGGCATCTTTCCAGAAAACCTGGCACGATTCTACATAGCAGAACTTACCTGTGCAGTTGAAAGTGTTCATAAAATGGGTTTTATTCATAGAGATATTAAACCTGATAATATTTTGATTGATCGTGATGGTCATATTAAATTGACTGACTTTGGCCTCTGCACTGGCTTCAGATGGACACACGATTCTAAGTACTATCAGAGTGGTAAGTAAACTCAAAATGTAGTTTGTTCATAATAATGTAATTTATTGATATAGTAAAATATAGGATGATTATATCACTGGATGAGAGCCAGAAGACATGGGTCAGGTCTTGATTCTGCTGGATAACCTTGGGTGAATCCTTTAGGTGCTTAGACTTATAAAATGAAAGAATGTGCTCGATTTGATTATTACTAAATATTATTAACATTTTTGAGTCACTCCTTTTACATTTTATTTGTCAATATGTCAGACAAATAACTTTTGATTTTTTTTGATGGAGTCTCACTCTTTCACCCAGGCTGGAGTGTAGTGGTGCAATCTCAGCTCACTGCAACCTCCCCCTCCTGGATTCAAGCGATTCTCCTGCCTCAGGAATAGCTGGGATTATAGTCACCTGCCACCATGCACAGCTAATTTTTGTATTTTTAGTAGAAATGTACCTGCCACCATGCCCAGCTAATTTTTGTATTTTTGGTAGAGACAGGGTTTTGCCATGTTGGCCAGGCTGATCTCAAACTCCTGATCTCAGGTCCACCCACCTCAGCCTCCCAAAGTGCTGAGATTACAGGTGTGAGCCCCTACACCTGGCCAAATATCATTTTAATAATTTTTTAATGAATCCTCATATCCACCATTCAGTTAAAGAACTGGATTATTAGTACTTGAGATGCTCCTAAACAATCACTTCCCCTTTTCTCCTCCACAGAGATAAGTGTTGTTTCAGAACTTTTGTAATTAGCTCTCTACTCTTATCTTACTTTTATCACAAATGTATACATCCCTAAATAATAATATTTCATTTTGTCTACTCTTTAACCTTTATTTAAATATAATTCTATATATATTCTTTGTGTTGACTTGTTTGAGGTTCCTCCATGTTATTCATGTAACATTTATTTTAACTGCTATTTAGGATTCCGTTATGTGACTATTACACAACTTATATAACCCTAAACACTTTATGATCCTTGATCCTACTTTATCCTCACAGTATCACTGTGAGGCAGGATGAAGAAACTGAGCCCTAATTAGATGAAGTAACTTGCCCAAGGTCAGACAGAAATCAAGTGTAAGGGCTAGGCTTTGAACCCAGGTTTGTCTGATTTCAGGGCCCATGTTATTTCTACTACACCACACTGCCTCACCAAGATCCCTCCAAGCGCTAATGGAAGTGTAAGTCAATCTAACATTTGTTAAATACTATGTAATAGGTGCTTTACAGTATATTCTAATATGCTCACAACAATCCTCTGAGGTAAGTATTATTAGCTTCCTGTGTTGCTGTGAACACAAGTCGATTGACATTAAAATGAGTAGAACTGAAACAATTGAACCTACCTTAATGTTCAATATAATGGAATTTAGTGTCTCCTCAGATTCAACTGAATTATTACTTGGAAAGCTTCTTAAAAATATGATTCCTAGGCTCTATTCTTGTCTTTCGATCAAAAATTTTTGGGGCATGGAAATCATATTTTAATCAAACATCCCAGATAATAATTATAGTTAGGTTTATTTCTTATACATAACTCTAGGTAACTTCATGCCATCTATATGTCAATGACTTCCAAATCTCTCTCCAGAAATGGCCTTTCTCTGAAATTCATAATTACTGTCCAACTACTTCTTGGCTATCTTCACATGGATTTCAGATAGGCCTTTCAAACTTCACATGGCCCATAAGTAACTCTTTTTTTTATTTTTATTTTTTTTATTTATTTTTTTTTTTTGAGACGGAGTTTCGCTCTTGTTACCCAGGCTGGAGTGCAATGGCGCGATCTCGGCTCACCGCAA